TGAGGAATAAGCACCAGCCAAGGAGCGTATTTCAGAACCTCGGTAGCAGCTAAATGTTTGACTGAAGGAACGAACATAAGTGCCTTTGTGCAAATCTATAATCTTGGATATTTTTTTCAGCATTTTCTAAGAATATGTAAATAAAACATTATCTGAAAACTGCTGACTTGCATAAAAATCGGATTTCCCTTAAACTGGAAATTTTACACTAACTACCTCAGCTTAAACACGTGGACTCATAAACAGGAGAGCAATATTAAGTAATATAAGCCTAGGATGATAATCTAGCAGTTTATGCATCTTCCTCACGAAAAATGTTCCAGACAAAAGAAAAAAAATGTGATGTATAATATAGAAGTGAAACTTCTGTAGTCTTAAGTTTATCCTCATAGCCAATGTCTTTTTCTTCCTTTTTAACAAATTTTCTTTCAAATCTCTCCTCAAACTCATTTATTTTTCCTCACCTATCCACTTTGTACATTCTTCCTCCCCACCCCCATTTATTTGTTTTCTTTGCCTGGTGTTATTCTTGGTATTTAAAATGCCAGAATGAATAGAGATCACTTAAAGCATAATATAGTTCAAACCATTTTATTTATTTTATACTTTTCATTCTTACTTCTATGTCTGATGCGCTTTGCAAACTCTTTGGAACAGAGACCAATTCTAATCTCTCTGCTGTTCTCATGGTGTTTTGATTTAGTTCAAATTAACTGCAGTGGTCTTACTACTTATTTAAAGTAACGTGAAATAAAAAATTATGCTCACTGTTACCGTTTCACTTCTGTAAGGCACTGTTTTGTTACTATATTGAATGGTAACTTAGAAGTTTGCAGCTGCGGACAGTCATTCAATTTTACTAGCGACAAATTGGTGCATACAAGATAAAAATCAGGGATATTCTAGCAGGATTGTAGAGGTGGATAAAAAAGTTGAATTTAATTATTAACTACAGCTAAGATATTTAATTAGGCTATTTTCTTTTTTTAGGGGCATCAACTTGCAAAAAAAAAAGTGCTGAAATACATGAAAACTACAATAAAATATTATGCAAGTGAGGTGTTTATACATACCTTTCTTTTGCAATATTTCCATTTGCTTGCACACTGTTTCAACATTAGAATTTAACTACTTGATTTTCAATACATTTCAGTCAGTCAATAAATACAGTATATAAGCATATTAAAATGGAAGGGTTTATAGACAGCATTTTCCTGTGAAGACTTGTCAACAAAATCCTTGAAAATTAAATGAGCTGACAACTATAATCGGAGCAGATGCGTAAAGTACTGTTATAGCACATTGCACCATCAATCATGTGTCAAGCATGCTGCCAAATATTAAGTGTTCTGACCTTTGTTATTAATAATAGAGGCAGACACTGGGGACATGTGAAAGACAAATAATGTAATGCATGGATAATCTATTATAGATTTGATTTTGTTAATGGATATAGAGCCTATTTGGTATCCTGCTCCTCCCCTTCTAAGCTATAATTTTCTGAAAAACTGGACATACCATGTGGTGGAAAGCCACATTGTGAAAAACATACTTTGATAGAATAAAATGTTCCTAAGTTAAATAATAGTGAGAGAGAGCTTGTCATCAAGTTCTACTACTTTATTTATATGTGTATTTGTCATTTCCCCTGTTCCTCGGGAAATAATGTGGAACAAGTAAAATGAAGCAAGCTTGTCTTTACTGTATTCACCATTCATTCTTCTATTTTTGTTATTTTGCTCAATATCATCTATCATCTTGTAGAGATTGGCTAGTCAAAGGTTTAGTCAACGTCTTTCTCCAGACCATAGCTTCTAGTATTTTTAGGTGATCATGCAGAACAACATTGATAATATGTAAAAATGACAAAAACAGTAGAATGGCCAACCAAAGGACAGCGATAAACGCTTACGAAGGGAGTGGTGATGTTGTTTTTTTTTTAAAAAAAAAAAAGGGGGACAAAAACCAACCACTTAACTGACTTAAAAGAACAAAGAAAATAGAATATGTGGGACAGAGAAAACTCCTTCCTCTGCAGGCACTGATGGCACTGATTTCCTGCTACCTTCTCGATGAGGAACATAGATCACAGAATGTCTTGGCAGTAAAACGTTAAGCAGTTGATTGAGGATTTCAGTGTGGAGTGCACTGCAACTGATTCCTGTGAAAATCAATGGACTGTTCACAGTTATCAAAAAGCTTACTTTGGTCCTAAAAGTTGCAGAATTTCTCTTGTCAAAACATTTGTTAATGTTATATTACTTTCAGACAATAAAACAATTATTTAGTATTCTTTTTTTTTTCTTTTTTTAAATTTAAGATTACATTAGGGAATAACTAGTTTGGTGACATTAATTGCATCTACAAACAGTATGTCTTTCCAAACTTCACTAATCTGGGCTTGCATAAGATAAAAAATTAGAGCTCCTCTGATTTGTAGTATATTTTTGTTGATGTTACTTTGTGTCTTGTCATAAGTTCTAAATAGGTGTTGAAGTTTGGATTGTCTGATTTGCAAAACCATTTTGAGGTTTTAATTTTTTTTTCCCCAGTGTCCTACACTAAAAGCCAATGCACAATTAAGAAAGAGCAAAAAAATTTAGAATAAAAGGTGGGGACCAAGACAGTATATTTTTGTGAAATTAACCAAAGTTTGGACAAAATCAAAAAATGTTGCCAGACAACTATTATGTTTACAGAAGCAGTTGCATTCCTCTCTTAAAAATTTAGAGATTTTTTAAGACTCCTTAATGATCTGATGCTTTTACTGTATGCAGGACACACTCCTCTAATCAACCAGAACTTAAGATTTAGTTTGATGTTCGTATCAACAATAAAGTTTGACTGTTGTACAAAATTAAATCACTCCACATGCTTCTTACACTTATTTTAAAGTGTATTTACACTTATTTTTACACTCCTTTAAACAGTTTGACACAGATGAGAGTAATTTGCTGCAGTTCAAAAATACATGCCTTTCATAGACTTACAGTGAATATACTAGGAAGAGGTCATTGATCTGTCTGTCAAGGTAATATTGGAAACATTGAAAAATCACCATATCTTTTCTGTTCTTGTTTTTTCCTGAGTCTGGACACCGCATGTACTGTATTTGGTATACGTGTATGGATTTCCTTCTCCCTTTCTTGCTAAATCAGAAGAGGGGGGAGAACAAAAGTCCTCTAGTGATCCAAGTTGGTTTTCCACAGTATATTTGTAAGTTTGAATTGAAGTCACCTTTACAAGCAAATGGCTTTATTAACTAAGCACAAAATAATTCAGATGCAATAATGATGATTCATTTTTTTTAAAAAGTATTTTTTATATATCTGCTCCAGAAATTGTTTTCCTTTTGTTCATACTAAGTGAGCACTTCATATTGTAGGCAGTATTCTCTGTCCTTCACATGGCACTCTGGCCCATTGAATATCCATGAAGAAATGCATTTGAAAACAATACTTTATTAAATTAGATACAATACTTTATAAAGCCACTAATTTCTTCATGTTTTGACTTTTATTCATACATATTTTATATGTGTATACCAAATTTGCTGTCCAGCTGGAAGGACATGACTTGATTTCTTGACCAAAGAGGATTTCATCAAGGCAAATATAACCTCTTTCCTGCTCCGTACACTGGCTTCTTATCAACTAAGTAATTTTGAGTTTCAGTCCTTATTTTTCTGATGATCTAGGCCTGTACCTTGAATGTCTGAAACAACAGCAGCCAGCGTTTTGTCTACAGTGGGCTGCACAGGCTTTTAAGGGATTCATCAAAGGTTGGTGAACCTTTGGTTGGATTCTCTTTCCATGTCACCGCCATGATCTGCTGGTACCTCCTAGGATCAGCTACTAGACGACTAAACACAGTTTCCATTCCTGTGCCTTTTACATAACAGACTGGCATCCAGCCTTGTGGCAGGATATACACGCCGCCTCCATGCCGTGACCTCCTGTGCCACCCATATTCCCATCACGTGGCAGGCATGCATCTGCGACGCTGGCATTTACTGCACTGGTGCAGCGACCTGCTTCCCGTTACTCAAGGGGTATGTGCTGCAGTGCTCTCAGGAAACAGCCTGGCAGGAATGAGGCTACTCAAACCCTGCTCTTATCACCTCTTGAGAGAGATGAAAGCAAGCACAGTGGCCAGATTAGTTGTTTGTTCAGCTTGGATTTTTGTCTGTGACCCACTGATTGAGAACTTGTGTGGCGTCCTGCAAGAAGAACAGGGGAGCGAGATGCTCTGTGTGGCCAACGAATTTGAAGGCAAGGCCCCAAGGTACTGTTTGCTGGGTGGCTTGGGTCAGAGATGACCCTTTCTATGGAGGCAAGGAAAGAGATGAAGTCCTGAATGAGCGTGTTTCTGAGACTGATAGCTTGATTGTTAAAATCTCCCAGGACAAAGTAGTCTGTCTGATACTGTGGTTAGCGAGGCTTTAGTGAAAACTTTTTTTTTTTTCTCTTCATAACACTTTGAAGTACAAAATGACTTTGAAATCTGCATGAAATCATACAGAGCTTTGGCTTCTGTAGTTGCAGAAACGAGTTCTATGAATCTGCCTTGCCAGGATTTCTCCTGGATTTGGTACCTGATAAGGAAGTGGATGCTACAGTGCATGCCATTTTGTACCCTTTTAGTGGTTTGTGAGGTAAGGAGCAGTTTTGGTTCAGGTCAGCTAGTTCAGAACCAGTCATTTTACTTCCGTAGTGTTTGAAATAACTTCTTGAAAGTTATTAGTTTGAAATAACTAATTGAAATAATTTCTTTTTTGTTATAATAGCGTTTGATAAAGAATCTTAAATTTCAATTTCTATAGTTTCGTATTTCTGGTTTTAGACACACGTTGTACACTGTTACGGCCTTGCTATTCTTGGACCAGGGCAAAAGTTCTGTAGTAACCTGTAGAAAGTCTGCGGTCAGTTGCTAGACATTTTTTACAAAGTGTACCTCTATATTTTGTGTCTCATACTGCCATCTAAGGGCCACGTAGGCTGAGAAGATGGCTGAAGGTTCTTCAGTGCCTTTCTTTCTCCTTACTGCCCTTCCCTTTGGGATGTCAGCAATTCATGGATGAGGGAGGGTGGGCAGGGAATGACAGCAGTCCTTTGATGCAATATATTGTTTCACCTAAGAGGATAGAGGAATCTTCCAGGTAAGTGAGAAATTAGAATAAATCTGAGTTGTAGTCTTTTAGGAAAGTGCAATTGCAGTGAGTTTGTGTAAAAGCTAGCAAATAAGAAAGCGCAACTACAGGATTTGAGACTACTCTTGAAACAAGTTAAGGAGTGCAGTGCTTAGAGTCCTGAAGAGTTCCAGCTGAAACTCTTAGCAGTGAGGGAGTGTGCAGTTCAGATTCTTAAAGGTACCAATGTCCTTGAATCCTACTGATTTAAGGATTAGTGCTTTATAATAGAATTTGCTTATTAGGATTTTCCCTAAAAAGGTACAAAATCACATGAATCAGTTTCTTCTGTTTTCTAATTTCACTGTTTTTGCATTGCTGGGTGTTTTTATTTTCCTGGACTAAGGGAAAATGGGCAAAAACGTGGTGTTACTTTAATGGTATGTGATCTTAAATAACATGAACATCATTTAAATATTTTGGGGTTTAAGCATTCAAAATTTTATCATGAAAACTTTTCTTTCCAGGATAAAAATGGAATTATTTTTTTTTAATCTGCAAACAGTACTTGTATAGGCTTAAATCTATAGCTGCTTTCTCACACAGATGTTTTGAATGACAAATATGGTAAAGAATTAGTGGCACAAGCCAAACATTTCAGTATTTGTCAACATAGTACTGTTGGCATTGACTGACAAAAGTAGTTCTTGTAATGAGGACCCCTTTGAGCACAACTTTATTTTGCAATGTATGAGTTGTTTTTCAGGCTAGTTTCCAGCAAACCTTGTGTAATAGAGAAGGTAATTAATCTTGCATGTTACTTTGACAGGCTCATGCAAGCAAAGACCTGGAAGAGCAGTTGCGATCTGTGTCCAGTGTGGATGAACTCATGACAGTACTTTACCCAGAATACTGGAAAATGTTCAAATGTCAATTGAGGAAAGGAGGTTGGCAACACAACAGGGAACGCTCCAGCTTTGACACAAGATCAGATGATTCACTGAAATTTGCCGCAGCACACTATAATGCAGAGATCCTGAAAAGTAAGTACAGGACACAAAACACGTTCTAACACACAATAAATTAAAATCCAAAGGCTTGTCAGTTGTGTCAAAAATATTTTAAAAGCTAAGCATCATCAGTAAACCACCCTTAGCAGTTTGATTTGATGTAATGGCTATAAAATAAAATCTTTGATAGTCAACCTTCCATAAGGAAATAAATTGCTCCACAGCCGTATTTTTGGTACGCCCATTGTAAGAAAGGTATAGACTGCTTTCTCAGGGCAGTTGATACAGGAAGTTAATTGGCTGTCTTCAGGTATAAGGAATCCTGCTTTGTAGCGGCTGTAACGATTTTGCAGAAAGCAAAGAGGGCACTAATAGTTGGCTTCATTGAACCGTTCCTGCTCATTTTCTGCGATTACGTCACTGCTGGTAATGCTTTCTTCGCTTACGTGTTACTGCTTTAGGAGGCCAAATAATCCACTTGTAGCTTTTTCCTGTTACAAGAGGGCAGTTGTCATGATGTTATGCTCAAACCAGAAAAAAACAGCTTTCAAACAAATATGTCAATACCCCTTAGTCTTTCAGGTGGCCTGATTAAAAATACAATTTGCTTACAGTTTAAGCAAGTGCTTGCAGGCAGAGAAACACAGGATTTATAGCAGGAGGCGTATTTTTTTGACATGATACTGGAAATCATGTACCTTAATGGAGACTTTTAAGGTACACATTAGGTGAAATTTCCATTTTTGCTGAATAGCCTACCAAAAACTGGCTCCAAGAGAGAATAAAGGGGCCTGTACTGCTGCAAGTCTCATGGCTGTTTCATGTAAGATTGTATTTGCCAAAAGGCTGTATAACACGATGTAAAACGTTTGCCTAAATTTGCGTGGATAATCTGGGCACAAATATCACCTTTCAGATTAAATCATATGGTGCATATACTTGCTAAATAATAACCTTTTGCTTTAAATTATACTCTGGGAGTTAACAAAGTAAACACATACTCAAATGAATTTCACGTTAAGTATGTAGGCATCGCATTTAATGTTTTTAATATATAGTATCCAAGTGAAGTACTGTGTGGGACCAGTTAAAATTAACTTGCAGAGATGTGCAGTACTTCTTTAGACTTCACTCAAGGTGAGACTCACCCTAGGCATAGGAGAAAGGATAGGTACAGCTTTAGCTGTGAATGCCGTAAGGTCTGCCCAACCTTGTTATGTTCCCTCTTAGCTCTGCTGTGACTTTTCTTCTGCTCCATGACAATATGTCACATCCCTATGAAGAAGAAAATTTAGGTAGAAGTTAACACAGAGAGATGTGTATTTCACTGAGTAAAAGGTGTGACTCTAGCAATGCATATTCTGGTTCTGAACTTAAAAAAAAAAAGTCCTACTAATTTACTGCAGGAGAGTATTGTTTTTAAACAGTTACTTTATAACACATGAAATTCCCTATAACTTGGCAGGTATTGATACTGAATGGAGAAAAACTCAGTGCATGCCACGTGAAGTGTGTGTGGATGTGGGAAAAGAGTTTGGAGCAACTACAAACACCTTCTTTAAACCCCCATGTGTATCCATCTACAGATGTGGAGGTTGCTGCAATAGTGAAGGACTCCAGTGTATGAATATCAGCACAAATTACATCAGCAAGACAGTAAGTTCTCACTCTTATTACGGTCCAAGTGCTCCTTGCAAATCCATTTATGATCATGCATATTTTAAACCTTCTTATTGCTACTGTGAGGAAGGAAAAAAGTCAATTCCAGAATACATAGGAAAAACAGCTGAAGAGACTACTGCCTGGAAGAAAATGTTTAACACTCTTTTCCGCCAAATATATATATTTTTTTTTTTCTTTTTTTTAAGGAAAAAAAAAATTATGATGTCCTGTTCTCACTTTTGAGATTATCCATGAAACTTAATTCTATCCTTTTTTTTGCATCTACCATTTGCCTGCTGTATGAGGCAAGCACTCTCTGGAAAACTAGCCTCTAATTTTATTTGTGAAGACTTCTAGGATGTGTGCAGACAGGATACAGGTTGCAAATAAAGCCTTTTAGGAACTGAACTTTACTGTATTAAGAGATATTAGTATAATGTACCTATTTGTTTTGTTTTAATGCATCTTCCTCAGGTGTACGTGTGGTTTTTATTCTTCAAGTTCAGGGCTAGTGATCAGTTAGGAGTATGCAGAGATTATGCTTTGAGCCTGTGAGCTGCCTTTAAAGGAAAAGCATACATGCATTATTCTATTTTAAGTAGCTATAACAATTATCACATTATCTTACAACAACATTTCCCTCAAAAATCATGTAAAAGTAGTCATGCTTCAAAATGTTTGCTAGGGTATTTTCCTTTTGTTACAGTATTTGGTAGTTTTTTTGTTGGTTGTGGGCTTTTTCGCTTTTTACCTCATCTTTCTGATACTTTGAAGAAAACTAATTTTAGTGTAAATGAGGCTTTCTTTTTCAGCTAGATTCATCTAGCTGAAGATGCAGTACATATTTATAAGGAAGATACGCAACTGCAAAGTCAACTGTAAAATTGTAGCCCATGGAGATGTCATTCCTTTATCATGAAACTTCTTAGTGCTCTGAGCCTTCTTGAGAGAGGATTAGGAAAAGGGGGGACATAAAGAAAACAGAAAAAAACTCTTTTTTTTTTTTTAATATATTTTCTGTACTCATTTCTCACCAGATCTGTCTGTCTGAAATGGTATATTCCACCAAGAATTTTCAATCCTAAGTATGAGCTAGTGGTAGACAGCCACAAAGCACAGGAATAATGTAACTCAAATAGCTTAAACGAGGAAAACTACAATACTGATTTTGTTCAAGCCCATAGTTATTCCCACAAACATCTGTCCTAATTCCAGTTGCTTGAAAGAAGCAAATATAATTTTCATGTTATAAACCAAGACATACAACCTTTTTTTTTTTTTTCACGTATTTATAAAGTTTAGCTTACTTGAATAAAGGATGATCTAGTTACAGAGAGAGTTGTTGCATTTAGCACAGATTTTCTGGTCTCTGAGCACCATGTCAGTTTGGGGTAGATAACCCCTTTCTGTTCATCTTTCTGTTCATATCTATTGAGTGAAGTAATTTTTTTTTTGCCTAGTAGAAAATGTTTATACTAGTTCTGAGTTTCTTTTTTAAGTTCTTGATGTCATTGGTGATGATACGATATAGGAGTAGTTAAAGATTTGAGAGACTCTGAAAAGGAAAATGTTAAAGGACTTACCAGAAAGAAGTAAGGGGCAATAGCATTGTTTTGTTTTCTTAGCTATTCTGTAAAAGCAAGCAATTTAATCTCTGAGTTTTCTATCTTGCTTCTGCTTTCCAGTTTTATCTGGTCCTTGACAGAATGCAGTTTTAAAAAAACCCTTAAAAAGGAAGAGAGCTATAGCTATATCTCTTCATCTGTCATCATCTCAAATCTTTTTAAAGTTATGTGACCACAGCTTACCCTATATCAGATGAGAATTAGGAAGAGAAAAGTATTGGATTCAAGACCCTTCTGTGGAATTCAGGTACCCTACACACCTATTTTCACTACTGTTTTCCTTTTATTTCCTGAATGAAATGAGAACAAATGGTTAGTAACCAGGCATCTTCTGTTTTTTCCTAAGTCACCATTTTTGTAGCTTTATTTTTGGTGCATAAACTACATAAGATAAGCTTCATACTGTTCACCCTGCAGAAAAAGTGCTTAATGGGAAATTAACTTTTCAGCTGGAGGTCTTACTGTGAGGGCAAGCTCTAGCATTGGTTCCGGACATTAAAATCTAAAGAAAGTTGATATCAGCTTTCATCAAAATTAATTAAAAAGAAAAGAGCTAAGCATAGAAATTATTTTTATGGGGAGCAAATCATTAATTGCCAGGAGAATGGACTAGGTCAGATGTTCCCAGATTGGCTTGTGGAACACTGTGGTGGTCCAGAGAGAGGTCAGTAGCTCTCTAGTTTGGGCTGTGTTCCTCTTTTCTAACTACTTAACTTTATTAAGAGAAAAATAGAAGAGTATTCTGCTTTGCTTTTAATACCATTTTTTCCACAAAAACTGTTTCTGTAGTTTCTAAGGGGTGTTTATACAATCATGACTGGGATATGAGACAGTTTCTTAATTAAGATGTGGTACAAGGTCTATGAAAACATTTGTGGATCCCCTAGGCTAATTCATAAAATGCAGTAGATCTTTTTCTTCTCCTTTATCCATGACACTGCAATAGCCCAACTTCGTACGTGGTGGCTTGTCTGATAAATATCTATGGGGAAGATGGTTGGTTGTTTTTTGGTTTTGTGGTGTGGTTGTGCTGGTTTTTTTCTCTAATTTGTTATTAATCAAATAGCTGTTCTCTGTTTCCATGACACAAGTAATTCAACAGCAGTTACAAAAATTGGAACTACCTGGTGCAGCAACAGCCTGTCCCTCAGCTGTACTTTTTTATGCCCCGCCTGTAGGTACTTGCTTATAGGTTGAAGGGAAGCAGTGAGCAGAAGTCAAAGAGCCATCTCATTCCATTCTTCCTCTTGGCTGGCAGGATGGACACGTTTTTTGGCTTCTTTCAGATCATTTGATGTAAAGGTCCTAAATCTTCTTGTTTCATCGTTACAGTAATAGTCCCTCAAGGGAAAACATCTTTCTAAGCAGTTTGAAATTAGATTTAGAGGAGCTTTTCTCACAGGAAACAAGCTAACAGCTTGAAATTGTTTGCCATATTTGAGAAGTACATGATGCTCCTTTACACAATTTGGAGATGCATATGTTGCAAGAATTTTCAGTTGTTTTGAACTTTACCATTTATGCCTTTTCCCATGCATTTTTCTGTTAGACTGATGATTGTAATGATATAGTAGGTACTATTAATAGTGGGAGATATATCAGTATAAATGCCAAATGGTTTTTGTTAAAATTTCGGGGGGGGGGGGGGGGGGGGGGTAAAATATAAAAAGATAGAACAAGGAACCCAAGCATATTAAACAGATCTGAAATGTATTCTATCAGATAAGTTACATGTTGTTGTATCACACATAAGCCTTGAAATACATTTTTTTTCAAAAAAGTTAGATAATAAATAATGATGATGTACCATTTTTCAAATAGCTTATTTTCATTCTTTCCACTATAGAGATGTTTAGAGTTTTAAAATCAGTCTTATATCCTTAGTTTGAAAATCTCTCTAGACACTGTGTGCTCTGTTACACTGGTTATATTTGGCCAGCCTTACTGACACTTTAGGAAGTGCAGAGATCACAAGTGATGGAAACTGAGTCAGTCAATTTAAGGGAAACTTACCAAAATAAACCACAGTCCATCAGAAGAACATAGTGTCGTTAATGTAAATCTGGGAAAAAAGTAATACATAAATCCTAAATTTGAAAAGTATCTAGAATGATAAGCCTCCCTCATCCTGATAAGAAAATAAGAGGTTTGATTATTTTATATTTCAGAAGTCAGTGATCATCATAATAATTTCATGTGTGCTGATACAATGGATATTGGCACATATAATGATAGTGCTGAATAAATTAATTTAGCTACTGAAGCAAAGAAATACTTTGTATAGAAATCAACAGTTTTTCTGGAAAGTATGGCATGAAGTCCTTCTAGTCTAAAGAAGGAGCTATCAATTCAGTGAATCAAAAATACATGCCTTCCTAAGGATCAGCAAGGAGCAATATACAGGAAATTTTTTTTACAGGAATTCTGATAACGCTTTTGGACAAGAATTCAGATTCCTGTCTGCTGTTAGATTTTTTTTTTTTTTAAAAGGTTAAAATCCTGCTGAGCTCTAGCTTGTGGACCAGTCTCTGGTCCCACCCTTGTTTCTGTTCTCCACTCCAGCTCTATAAATGGCTAAAGGAAGAGCACTGCCAGTGTGGGAACTGAAAAGAGCCTACTGCAGGGTGGTCTGCGGGATCACGCAGCTCTGGCCTGGAAGCTCTTGCAAGGATGGCTAAAGAAATAACAAGGTTGGGAAAAAGGGGGACTGTTGCACTTGGCATCACAATGATTGCAGGTTGCGGAGTGCCAATGGCCAAGTCTGGTTGGGTAGAGCAATTCAGAGACACCTTTGCCTGGTGTCCTCTTGCTGTGCTTCTCACCTGAGAAGTACAGTACAGTACAGAGCATATGCACTGATCTTCAAGGATTTAAAAAATTGATGTGTAAAAGAATGGAAATCCAGGAAAAAAATTGTAGTTGCACACATATTGTAAAAGTGATCTAATTATCCACTTACTTTTGTATTGGTCTCAAAAGTTCTTTAATTATGTACCTGTCTGTACTGGGATGCAGAAAATACAAGCATAAGAAGCTGACGTTTGGGTCTGTAGGATATGCTGCCTTTTAATTTTGGCTGGTGCAGTGGAACGAAGGTTAAGTATTAAGCCTAAAATACACCTTATTACAGATTGTGTAATCCAAATGTATGAAGAAAAATGACCTTCTTTCATTTTTGAAGATGAATGTTTCAAGTTTGGCTAGGTTGAAAGACAGATACAAAATCATCTTGATAATGGTCAGTGGGACAGAAAATACATATCCTTAAAAATAAAATAAAAAAAATGTCCTGCAACCAAAACTTTTTTTAAAAATCCATATAGTACCAACGACTGTCATGGTTTTAGCACAAAATTTCTATTTAAGCCA